TTAGGGTGAGGGTTAAGGTTAGTGTGAGGTTTAGTGTTAGGGTCAGGGTTAGTGTTAGGGTGAGGGTAAGTGTTAGGGTGAGGGTTAGGGTTCGGATGAGGGTTATAGTTAGGGTGAGTGTTAGGTTGTTATTGTTAGGTTTAGGGCTATGTTGAGGGTGAGGTTGAGGGTGAGGGTTTGGTTTAAGATTAGGGTTAGGGTCAGATTTAGGTTTAGGATTAGGGTTAGAGTTAGGGTTAGGGTGAGGGTTAGTTTTAGGGTTAGAGTTAGGCTTAGGGTGAGTGTTAGTGTGTCTCCTTTTTCTTGTTGCATGGACAAAGAAACTTTCCTTTCTACAGTACTAAGTCTAGAAGCTTGGTGTTGGGGCTGAGGCGTTCCTGATGAGCCAGTTTTTAATCACTGAGATGTCAGACATGCACTAAAGAGCTGCTACTCCTTCTTCTGGAAACAAATCATACTTTGAACTAATCCATCAAACCTGTCCCAATGCATCAGGAAGGAATTAACTCTTTCCACAGAATAATATGCCTCCTCCAGGCCAGAGGGCAACCCAGGAACATGGAGCTGAGTACTCCCATCTCAGGTGGAAGCCTAAGGAGTAGTCAGGAATAATGGCACCCACCTCTTCAGTTCTGCAATGAGTAGTGCAGTGCAGGGAACCCCCAGGGTCATCAGAGATATGTTGTTGATGGCAGGCTTGACAAATGCCAGGCATGTTGTAACTGCAGACAGGACGCAGACCACTGCCTTGAACCTGCCCCTGAATCAGCAGAAGGAAAAGCACATCCATTAACCAAGGAGTTCCTGCTAGTTTGTCTATTAAGGTTGAGAAGGTAACAGACACTGCCATCCACGTAAGTTGAAAAGAAATTTTGCCCTAAGTATCTAAAATTTTGCCCTAAGGATCTAAAAGTCATTCACACTCACTGGCTCAGTAATTGAACTCCTAGGAATTTATTCTTTGGAAATAATCAGAGATTTCCCAAAGGTTCGGCCATGAAAATGACAAGACTGAAGTTAACCTTTGTATCTGGGGGTGAGAGAGTGAGAATCATTTCTCTGGCCTTAGTTCTCTGTATTTCTTTCAGATGGTTCTACATGTTCATTTAAACAAACTTTTTCCATAGAGTCAGGTAGTATTTTAGGTTTTCTGGGTCTTAAGGGTTTCATTCTGCCATTATAGAAGATAAGTTAATGATTAAGCATGTCTATGCCAATAAAATTTGATTTGCAAAAACAGATTCCATTTGGCCCAGGGTACATAGCCTGCCAATCCCCGTTCCACTAGGTGAGCATGCGTGACTTTTATTTGAAAAGCAGAGACCATTAATAAACTATAAGGTTTTCAGTTTAACAGAAAAAAAAAGTCCTACATGACCAGCATGCAAAATGAAAATTCTTCTAATATATTACTACCTACTGGCAACCTACAAATCTAGCATACACTTAAATTTGTCTTGACAAAGTTTTTTGTTTTTGTTTGTTGTGTTGGTGCTGGGGCTTGAACTCAGAAACTAGGTGCTGTCCTTTAGCTTTTTTGCTCAAGGTTGGCACTCTACCACTTGAGCCACAGCTCCAATTGCCTTTGGGTTAGTCAGGTAGAGATAAGAGTCTCACAGACTTTACTGCTCAGGGTGGCTTCAAACCACGATCCTCAGAGCTCAAATCTCCTGAGTAGCTAGGATTATAGACATGAGCCACTGGGAGCCCAGCTTGACAATTTTCTGACATAATAGATCTTGGAAAAAACACTGACTCTCTCTTCACACCCTGCACAAACTTTTCATCTCAGTGAAGTGTGAGCAGTGCCGACGTGATCCTAGACATATTCGTCTTTCCTCCCAGGAACCCCATTTCCTGATCTATAAAGTGAAAGGTCAGACCACAGCATTTCTAATGCCCCATCCATGACTGAGACTGAAGAACACATGATTTTCCTGAAGTTCTGTTCTTCCTCATTAGCAGAATTTGCTTTGGCCGTAAGCCCTGGAACAGGTCACAGTTAGGAAGCTAATTTGAATGAAATTCTATTATAAAGAAATCAAAGGGCCTTGAACTTCCAAAATACAAATTTATCTCTTAAATAGGAAAACCATTTATCATCAAGGCACAGGAAATCATTGATCAAGCTGCCAGCTTTCTGAGTGGAATGAACAGGCATTGTGTGTAGTTCTGAACTTTTACCAGAGAGAAAAAGATGTGTGGGGGAAAGTCCAGGCAGCAAATTCTCAGGAGAATTGTGTTTTCCTCCTGACCTTGGTCAGCATTCTTCAGCTGGCTACTGGTTGAGAAGCTGCCTGTTCCAGCCAAGACTGAGGACCACGGCCACAGCCTTTCTTCATGACCCACAGCTACTCTTGCTGGGCACTGGGTGTAAGGTTCTGACACATCAGGACTTTTTGTCCTTTTTGGGTGTTTGTTTCTCTTCCATTCTCTCTTCTCTCATTCTGGGATACTAATTATGTACATTGCTTTACCTTCTCACTATCTCCCCTGTGTCCCTTACATTTTTCATGTTTTTTTTTTTTTAATTTTATTTTATTTTATTTGTGAACATACTGTACAGAGGGGTTACAATTGCATGGGCAGGATAATACGTACATTTCTTACCAAGCATTGCAGCCTCCTCCTTTGTTTACCCTTCCCATCCCTTCCCAGCCTCCCCCCCATTTTTCATGTTTTTGTCTGAACTTCATTCTACTTTCTTCTTGTCTTTTAAAAAGTATTTTAAAATTTTTTATATAGGATAAAATATCTCATCAGAAATTTCCAAAGTGCAGCACCATTTAGAGTTCAGGCCCAGATTAGAAAGACCAATAGAGCAATTAAAACCGCCCAGTTTTACAGGCTGCCAGTGGCTCAAATCTGTAATCCTAGCTACTCAGGAGACTGAGATCTGAGGAATGCCATTCTAAGCCAGGCTAGACAGAAAAGTCTTTGAGACTCTTATCTCCAATTAACCACCAAAAAGCCAGAAGCAGAGGTGTGGCTAAGTGGTAGAGTGCTAACCTGTGTAAAAAAAGTTTAGGGAGGACTGGGAAGGTGGCTTACTGGTAGAGCGCTTGCCTTGCATGCATGAAGCCCTGGGTTCGATTCCTCAGCACCATATAAGCAAAAAGAAAAAAGCAGGAAGTGGCACTGTGGCTCAAGTGGTAGAGCGCTAGCCTTAAGCTGAAGAGCTGAGGGACAGCGCCCAGGCCCAGAGTTCAGGCCCCATGACTGGACCCAAAAAAAAAAGTGTTCAGGGACAGCACTCAGGCCTTAAGTTCAAGCCCCAGGACTGACACAGGAGGGGGAAAGATATATATGTATATGTATGTATGTTTCTTCAAGTAGACAATTGTATTCAAATCCTTTCCTCACCACTTGGGTAGTTGTGGAACCAATAATAACTCTTCCTAAAACATCACCATGATGGTGTTCTGGTGAGTATTAATGACTTAAGACAGTGCCTAGTACAAGTTATGTGCTAAAAGTCCTTTACTTCCATCTTTCCTATCATAATGAGAATATATACTATTTTAGTAATATCACTGTTATTGGGAGAACCATACTGAGGGATCAGACTGATTACAACTGGTGCTACAATCCCCAAAGCCCCCCGTATGGATTGCTGAATTATTTAAAGGCACATGCTTTCTTTCAGAACACCAACAACAAATACAACGCCCCCCCCCCACACACACATACATATACATACATACATTGGGTCCAGAGATGTGTTGGAATGTACTGACCCATAAGAACATCCTGTGAACACACTCAGTTCTACAAACAGTAGAAGTAAATAGAGGTCATGTGGCCAAACAGAAAGCCAGCTGCCCAGCATACTCCAGGGTTTCCAGAGGCCCTACATACAAGAGAGCTAGAAATTTCTAGGATCCAGGAGTCCTGATAGGGCATTTTTTAAATTGTGGTGACAACATCCCTTCCAGCAGTTTGTGGCCCTGTATTCAACTTTCTGGCCCATATATTCTCACTCCAGAGCCCTTAGTACCTCCCCCCTTTTCCTGCATTATCCAAACAAAATCTAGCAACCCTACAGCACAGTCATCATAGTATAATAATAAAACTATTGCTGTTGCTCTCATCACCTACCCTTTAAAGCAGGAATTTTCTACCCTCTCAAAATCTGTCGAATGTTTGGTAATGTCCCTTTACCCTTCTTAAAGGAAAGGGAATATATGGATGGTGAAACCTGCCATTGTGACTTCCAGCCAAAGTGCACAAATTTCCCACATGGCCTTTAAAAACTAGAAATGTCCCTGACAGGTCTCACTATTTAAGCTACCTGTTAAAATCAAAATACGAATTATTCTGAGACGCCAGCCCTTCACAGTCATGGTTCTATGGCATTTGGTCCTGAGGGAGACCTCAATAGTTTAGTGCTGCTACACTGTTATTTTGTAAATAAGGTTCTAAGGCCCAAAGAGATTAAGGTACTGGACACACATCATCCAGCAAGTGAACTAATGATATGCAGATCCTAAGCTGCTCCCTTGCTATTCATGACTCAAAAAAAAAAAAAAAAAACAAAAATGAAGTGGGAGCCGGGCACTGGTGGGTCACTCCTGTAATCCTAGCAACTCAGGAGAATTGTGATTTGAAGCCAGCCCCACCAAAAAGCTGGAGGTGGAACTGGCTCAAATGGTAGAACACTAGTCTTGGGAGAAAAACAACAAAGCTCAGAGACAGCACTCAGGCCCTGAGTTCAGTTCTAAGTCCTGAGATTTTACTTATATCTCAAAAAAGGGCCACTGATACCAACGTGAGCTAAGTGACCACATGGACCACTGGGCTAACAAGTACTTTTCAAGATTATCTCAAACACCCTAAGGTGAGTTGTTGTTGTTTTTAACTTTTCTGCTGGGCATGGCTTCAAAATATCATTCTCCAAGGCTCATGCCTAAAATCCCAGCTACTCAGGAAGCCAGGACTTGGCAGAAAGGTTCCGAAACAAGTTGGAGACCCTGTCTCTAATTAATCAGTAAAATGTCAAGCTGGAGGCATGGCTCCAGTGGTAGAGGGCCAGTTGTGAGCAAGCAAGCTAAGTGAGGTCTTGAGTTCAAGCAAAGAAGAAAGAAGAGGCGGCAAAGGAAGAAGGCAAAGATGAATTTTGATCCAGATCTCCCAAATTTCATAAACAAATAAGTAAAACCCTTACTCCCACTTCTAAGTTCTGAGGGAAGAGTAGCCTCTTCGCTCTCAGCCTAACACATGCCAGGTGCAGGTAAAGGACAGAAGCAACTGCTGGTCATGTTTTAAGTTGGGAGATACTGGAAAAAGGCAAATGGTTTGATTTTCAAGCAGGGTCAAAAAGTCTCTACCTGCAAAACCTCATGGGCTGCCTCCTCTTTCCACCTGTACCCTGAACTCACCAGCCTGCTGCTGAAGCTGAGCACAGAAACCAAAGAATAAGACTAGAAGCTGGAGACTGTCTAAAGCAACCTGGCTACATTTGAAAGTACACACTTTCTGGAACAAAATGCATACAGTAAGTATACGCAAGGCCCTGGGTTCAATTCTTAGTACCACAAAAAAAAAAAGTAAAGCAAACTTTCTCTGTAAAAAAGAAGCATCAGCAGGATGGAGAAGAACATACTTGCTTTCGTTTTCTTCTTTTTTTTCTTTTGTGTGTATGTGTGTGTGTATGTGTGTGTGCACTTGAACTCAAGGTCTTGAACTCTGGTTTATTTTGCTTACTTGCCCACTGCTGGCACTGCCACTGGAGCCACATCTAAAGCTAGAGTCTCACAGACTTTCCTACTTGGGCCAGCTTCAAACTGCGAATCTTAGATCTCAGCCTTCTAAGCAGCTAAGATTGCAGGCTTGAGCCACAGGCATGAGCCACAAGAGCTCAACATCATTTTTTTTATGAATATCTTTCTTGAGGGAACTCCTAATTGCTAAATGATACTAGAGACAAAACTAATTCAAATCCCGCTTCCCAGGAGAAAGTTTATATACCTATTCCATTTAAAGTATGCTTTCTCCTTACCTCAATAAAAAAGGGATTTCTTCATCTTAAAAATTAAATTGTTAAAAGAAATCAGATGGAAGATAAAAGTGGAAGCTCTTCACTATACCGCAACTCAAAACAGGCAGGGACAGGACGGTGGTGTGTTCATCCTCCTGAACACATACATAAACATATTTACAAAGGAGGTTAGAGCATTCTTGTGTGTGTGTGTGTGTGCGTGTGTGTGTGTGCATGCAAGTACTGGAGCTTGAACTCAGGGCCTAATGCTCTTACTTGGCTTTTTGTTTTTACCCAAGGCTGGTGCTCTACCACTTAGGCCATATCTTCACTTTCAATTTCTTGCTAGTTAACTGGAGTCCCTCAGACTTTCCTGCCTGAGCTGATCTCAAATCATAATCCTTAGATCTTAACCTCCTAAGTAGCTAGAATTACAGGCATCAGTCAACAGCACCCTGCTTGGGTCATTCATTCTAAACAGGAAATCACTTTTTTTTTTTTTTGGTCGGTCATGGGGCCTTAACTCAGGGCCTGGGTGCTGTTCTTCAGCAATTCAGCTCAAGGCTAGCACTCTATCATTGAGCCACAGAGCCACTTCCAGTTTTTTCTGCTTATGTGGTGCTGAGGAATTTAACCCAGGGCCTCAGGCATGTAAGGCAAGCCACCTTCCCAGTCCCTGTATGTTCATTTTTGTTAGATATCATAAACATTTTAATTTCTTCCCTTCCATGACCCAAAAGTAGTTCAACAGTTGTTCAGTCTATATGTGTTACAGGATTTTCTTTGGTGGCTTTTGGTGTTAGGTTCTAATTTTATTCTCTTGTGGTCTAAGAGAATACAGAGAATAAATTCAATGTTTCTGAATTCCTGCCTGGGTTGGCTTTGAACCATGATCCTCAGATCTCAGCCTCCTGAGTAGCAAGGATTACAGACATGAGTCACCAGCACCTGGCTTCCATGTGCTTTTCAGATACTCTTCCACCTCAGGTGCCTCCAAAAAACCTTCGTCTTTTTCATTTTGGTTTGGAGTATATGTGTGTGAGTGTGAGAGTGTGTATGTGAATTCCTGGGAACTGGATTCAGGGCCTCACACTTGCTTAGCAAGTGCTCCAACACTTGAGTCCTTCCTGAAGTCCAGCCTTAGTCTTTAATAGCTATGTAGCTGCTATTCCTTTTCAAAATTGAAGAAAAAAAACATTATGAATTCTTTTCCTGGGATCTCTTCCCTGGGCTGGCACAGCTTGCTTCATTGTACCCATATTTTTAGACTATTTATCAATATTCTGTATATAACTTGACAAAACAGAGTGTCCTGCAGAGAACTATGCAGATGCTGTGTTCTGAGCACATTCCTCATCTGAATTAGGCTGACTTCCCCTGTACCTTCAGACAGCAACAAACCTCACACAGTAATTAGGAGGACTTCTGTGGCCTAACTACATCAGCATGATGTCATGGCAACACCCTGTCTACTCAAACTCCAACATAAGGGTATTTCTCTGTTGGTGCTCTACTACCAAATTAGGGGAAATTCATGAGAGGCAGAAATGTTGCCACTTTGTTTACAGCTGTATCTCAGTGTTTCGAAAAAATACGGTCCAAAATAAGTGTTCAAAAACACTATAATCCTAGCATGCAAGATACTAAAAATGCATCTTTTCCTGAATTCTGATTTCCAGCTGGAGATTGTGTGTGTGTGTGTACAAATAGAAGTATGTATGTGTATATACATATATATATATATATGAGTGCAAGTGTATTGTGTATGTTGATCATATGTAAAACAATGATACAAATCTTAAATCTTATCCTATGACTTCAAGAATAAGATAATCAGACTTTCTACTTCCATATGTATAAAACTGGTAAAATTAGGTGACACTCAAGGAAACATTTAGGCAGGAAATCAAAGGTCTTTAAACTACTGCCCAGATATGTCTCTCCCAATGAGTCTTTCCACACTTGTTCATAAGTGAACAAGTCAGCTATTTTTTTGCCCCTACCATTACATATATGCTTTCCCAAATATTACTTAAGTTTCCTCTTTTATCTCTCAGTTTGATTATACTGTCAGATCATTAAAAAATCAGTGGACATTAAGCAAATATATTAAACAAGTTATTAAACAAGTTTATTAATTAAGTAAGTTCATCACTAGGTAGAACTTAATTGTGTGCTGTTTTTCTTGGTGCTAAGTTATCTTGGGGACTGCACCTAGTAGTAATTGTAAAAGCATTTAAGCATGAGCTTACCTGTCATTCCGAAAAATCTTTGGTAGATACCTTCTGGGGAACCACATGGCCAGAGCACACATCAGAACCCAAAGTATTGCAAGTTCATCAAGCATCTGACCCAAGAAACTAAGGGTTGCATGGAAGTAGACGGATCCAATTCCTAGAATCGATTACAATTAAAAACAAAACACAAAAAATAGTCAGCCCAGAAGCACTAACTCACAAATTCAACACATTGCTTAAAGAGACTTTACTAGCTGCTATCAGAAATCACTAGATCACTCTCTCTTTGAAAAAAAAGAAACTTTAGAAAGAAACTCACACCACCCAGCCTGCAGGCTTCAAAACTAGACAGGGAATTTTAGTTAGGGCCTGGTATTAGCCTATCAAATTTAAGTAATCCCACAGTAAAAACACTCTGGCTCTATCCACTGAGCTTTCATGAGAACAGGCAGTAAATAAAAGTCAACATTATCTCACTGTTAAGAATTCCTGAACAGCCTGGAAGAGGAAATGGAAATTACACAAATATTTCACTGAACAATGAGGGACCAAATATCTATTTTTTTTTTCATTTAAGTCCATTAGAAACCACATCTTATCAGAGTTCAATTGTTTCACATGACTTTCTTTGGAAGCTTCCAGAAAGCTGCACTGGCACAGCACCAATACTGTCAGTCCCCCAAATCAGTCTGCAATGCAGTTATGTGATAGTTCCAGGCAGACTTGTTATCAAGCCTGAGTTGAAAAGACTCTTTTTGGTGTCCATCAGGGGGGCAATTGCTAAGACGTCAGAGTGACTTTGGTTTACAAAACACTATGTCCAAAGAGACAGGAAGCCTGTGGAATCCCATTTCCTCCCTTTCAGTCCATGTGCCCCCCCCTCTCCCCCCCCCCCCCCCCCCACCCCCCGCACTTACCCACTACAACTAAGAGAGTCCATATCAAGTAGATGCCGCTGTTGAAGCACGTTGCATATTGACGAAACAAGCACATACAGATAGGAGGTAAAATGAAAAACAAGACGTTGCTGATCTGGAGAGAAACAAAGGGAAATGAAAGGTGACTATTAAGTAAAAGGTTATAACACAGAGGCTTGCTCCAAATGTGTACTTTGCAAAATGGGATGGATGCAGTCATACATCTTGTTTAAGCTTGAGCACTTTTAACATTGCAGATACACAGCCAGGAAAACTTAAAACTTCTTTAATGACCATATGGAGGAGTCCTGGTTGCCTCTGGACAACAGGAATAGCTAGAAACAATGCAAACACAGCCAGGATTATAGCAACATGTTCCACTCAAAAACCCTTCCTTCAATCTCTACCACTTAGGGGGGAAATTACAAACAGTGCTACCTATGAAAATTATGCAGGCCCTACTCCTGACTCAAAGTAACATTAACTTTTGCTTTTTCTGTACAGATTAATTATGAAGCATTCTCATTTATTCTCATTTCCATTTTAAAAGATGATGCCTAGCCAGACACAGCTCTTAGAAGGACTTTCACGGACCAACTACATGTCTACAACATTAGCTGCTAAGAAGTCTGAGGTCTGAGGATCATGGTTCAAAGCCAACCAGGGCAGGAAAGTCCATGAGACTCTTACTTCCACTTAACTAGCAAAAAGCCAAAAGTAGAGTTGTGGCTCAAATGGTAGGGCACTGACCTTCAGTGAAAAAGTTAAGAGATAAAATCCAAGCCCTGAGCTCAAGTCCCAGAACACACACACACACACACACACACACACACACACACACACACACACACACACACACACACACACACACACACACACACACACACACGATGATGCCTAATCCCTGAGCAGTATCTGGGGCCTGCAATCCTAGCTACTTGAAAGGTGAAGATTGAGGGATCATGGTTCAAGCTAGCCTAGACAAAAACATTCACAGGATTCCATATGAAGGAAAAAAAAAAAAAAGATTTTAACTCAACCAATAAGAGCCGGATGCAGTGGCTTGTGCCTTTACTCCCAACTATACAGAGAAGCACAAATAGGAAGTTTATGGTCCAGGTTGGCCTGAGCATAAGGCAAGACTCTATCTCAAAAAGGGGAAGCAGTGGGGCTGGGAAGGTGGCTCAGTGGTAGAGCGCTTGCCTTGTATGCATGAAGTCCTGGGTTCGATTCCTCAGCACCACATAAGCAGTAAAAGTTAAAAAAAAAGTGGCTCTGTGGCTCAAGTGGTAGAGCGCTTGCCTTGAGCTGAAGAGCTGGAGGATAGAGGCCAAGCCCAGAGTTCAGGCTCCGCGACTGACAAAAAAAGGGGGGGAGAGCAGGGGCTAGCAGAGTGACTGAAGGGGTAGAGCACCTGCCTAGCAAGCACACAGGCCCCAGATCAAACCCTAGTGCCACCCCCTAAAAATGAGGCCTGTACAAAATAATGGCCATTGGGAAAAAATGGGTAGAAAAAAAATATATTTTCCAGCACTTGAAAATTTTCTGCCGTCAAAGCAAATCTTTGCTCATCAGCTTCCCTCCTAATTAAAACCCTTTTTTCTCAGCTTTAAAATGAGATTATCCTATAATCCTAGCTAATCAGGAGACTGAGGTCTGAGGACTATGGTTCAAAGACAGCCCAGGAAGAAAAGTTTCCATGAGACTCTTATCTCTAATTAACCACCCCAAAACACTGGAAATGGAGCTGTGGTTCAAAGCATTGGAGAGCTGGGGCTGAGAAGGTGGCTCTGCGGTAGAGCCCTTGCCTTGCATGCATGAGGCCATGGGTTCGATTCCTCAGTACCACGTAAGAAAAAAAAAAAAGGCCAGAAGTGGCGCTGTGGCTCAAGTGATAGAGTGCTAGCCTTGAGCTAAAGAGCTGAGGGACAGCGCCCAGGCCCAGAGTTCAGGCCCCATGACAGGAGCCAAAAAAAAAAGGAAAAAGTAGTAGAGAGCTAACCTTGAGCAGAAGAGCTCAAGGACAGTGCCTAGGCCTGAGTTCAAGCCCCAGGACTGACTGAAGACAAAAAGGAGATCATATCATTCACCTTGCCGACTTAATATAGATTTAAGCCTCTGTCTTCACAGGACATTTGGCTTTTGTAAGTTTAATGATACATCTTATGCCTTAATGCAATATATTCAAATTACTGTTGTTTGAAAACTATTAAAATATCATTGGTCAGGCAAAGTGGCATGTACTTAAAATACCCATCAAGTAGGAAGTGTAAGAATCAAGGCCAGCGTGGGCACATAGAAAATAAACAATTAAATGGTGTCAATAAAATATTTTACAAAAACATTTGGGTAAATGCCTAAGAATGGGATTGCTGGGTCTTAGGGGAGCTCTATGTGAAGTCTTTTGAGTAACCTCCATATTGCTTTCCAAAGTGGTTGAACAAGTTTACATTCCCACCAACAATGAAGTAAGGTTCCCTTCTGTCCCACTCTTAGGCATTTACCCAAATGTTTACAAACAAGACCACACTAAAGCTACCAGCACAACTATGTTTATTGCAGCATTATTTACCATAGCTAAGATATGGAACCA